AAACTGGACTCAACCCAAGATTAAAACATTACACCAGGAATGAACACACTTTATGTAACAAAAGTGAGCATGTATTTTCACTTTTTTAATAAACATTTCAGCTCAAACTGTAATGGAAATATTTACATAGAAGTATATTTAAAATGTACAAAATTGCCCTGGTCTCTCTAGTTTAATTTGTGTGAGGCAAACATTACAGCTAGCCTTTATAGAGAGATTTAAATTAGCATACAGTAATTAACAACATTTTTCACAATTCACTTCAGGGGACCGTTTTATCCGTGAACAGAGGGTCAAAGACAGTCTGGGAATTTCAAATGGCAGCATTACTTTGCTGAGAAAATAGCCTGTTTCCTGTAGAGTTTGCTCTTTGCTTCAGTAGAGGCTTTGGTGTGGATGAGAGCCCTGTAGATTGTGCTGAGGGAGGAAGATACAGTAAATGTAATGTCAGCTTTTACATTCTTCTTCAGGCTGGGAGGAAAATGATCCTATTCATTTTCACCTTTCTTCTTATACTAACTATTGTAATACTATATCCAGCACTCAAAGGCTCCTGTCTGGGATCTCAATGAGGAATGCTTAATTTAATGAACTACAGAGCCCTTATTCAGTTATCAATTTCTGCAAATACTGTATATCAATGTACCCTGATTCATCAGCTGGTTTCACTTCGTAGAAACCGTCTGACCTCACAGCATTAGAATTCATTCATACTTGGTTGTGATGCATGTAATGCATTAAATCCCGTAGGAAGAAGGGCAATAACGTCCCCTTGATAAAATTTACCATTCTCTTTGTTCCGGCTTTAAATCCTCAATTTTGGGAATCGTTGCCAACACAGAACATATGGCTTCATCTACATCCATCTCGACTGCTTTGTTTACTATTGTTCACAGCTCTTCAATGATTGGCCAGTGTGCGGTCTACAACTTCCGGGGTTCTTGCAAACCATCTAGTGTATTCCAATTCCTGACCTAGTCACTGGAGAGAAATGAAATTGAGTGGAGGCACTAGGTGGCGCCAGCCTGGCCCTGCAAGACACCAGTGTCATTTGAATTGCTAATAACTGCAGTCCCATTTGCTTCTGTAAGAATTGCAGTAAATACACTGATAAAAAATAAATGAATTCCTAGGTCAAATGTCACTTGCAGTCCCACAATGCATCATGCCTGGTTTTAATAAAACAGGACCCATACACCTGGATGTGGTGGTCCCCGGGGCAACTTCCCCCCAATAAATAATTACTTTGCAACAAACAAACACAAACAAACAACAGGCCACACCCGCTCCACGACTGCTACAAATGATCTGTCCACAGCAATACACTGCCAAATGTGTAATTTCCTGCAGGTCACAAGGGGTGAGCTGGGGCAGCATAGGTGTCAAGGGACCCTGTGAGTGGCTCTAACCCACGTGTAGAGCTGTTACTGTGGGGAAGGACAACATGCACCCGTGGGTCAACACGCTTATATTCAATCACAACCAGAAAGCCAGTACTCTGCAATTCAGTAGTTTGTTCATATACTATATGTTTTCTCTCTCTCTCTTTTTTTTTTTTTTTTTTTTTTTACAAAAATGAGCACAAAGAGTGTCTTAAAGCTCCTCTATATTATGTGACACTGTGAGCTTTAAGCCATGTTATAATGTCGTTACCTCCTCAAAAACATATCTGGAGTGTTTTGTTTCATTCACACGTTAGAGTAATCCTGCTTTACTCGCCAATCTACATTTCCAAAGCTCAAAATGCTATGTTCCACCTTGTGTCATCTACCTTTTACTTTAGTTCAGTAGAGATTGGTAATTCCAGGCGTGAAATCATCCAAATTATTCTAGTGAAGGGGCCGTATCTCGCCCCACAGTCTCAGCGCTGGCGCAAGTGTGAGGCGTGGAGTTCTAAACAGGAGGTGTGCCGTGCCTGAATATCAGGTGGAGTGGAGCAGACTGATGGTGTTGCGCGTTCAGTGAATTGCCAGAATCGTAAAAAATAAATATCAAACGAGTTCACTGAAAAACAACATGTAACATGCTCAAAGCTTCTTTTATTTGGAAATATATTAGCATGATAAATGCTTAACATTCATAACATGTTCGTGTGCTGTGCGGGAGTCGTCCGGATGCCCTCCCGCAGCAGAGCACAGCCCCTCGCCCGCTCCGTGTATCGGCTCAGCTCTGCTCTAGTTTGGTTTGACCTGGATCTGTACAAAAGCTGCTCATTCAAATGAGGCCGTTTACAGCGCTGTCCTAAAGTGTGTTTTCTTACCCTGTCTGTGGTCCTAATGCTGTGGCAGAGCTGTGACAGCGGAGCAGACGCACGTATCATGTCTGTGCGTAACATCAGAAACATTTATATGACAATAAACATATTCCGTAATCCGCGAGACCTCCACCTGTGTAGGACCAAATGCACTGGACCCGAGAGACGAGAACGTGAGCGGTCAGCGGCAGCAGAGGTGGACACTCGTACATCAGGTGAGTCCGTGGGAGTGGACTGCGGGACAGACAGGAGCAGGAGTGAGAAATCAGCGAGTCTTCTGTGGGATGGGAGCACATGAGACAGACACTGGTCTTAAACGAACGCAGAGAAAACTATAAAAGGTTGACGTGTGCGCGGGTGCACGAGCTTACAGCTCGGAACACAAACCCAGTCAGTTCTGTCATGGCCCATACAAAATTCTATATTCCTGGTGCCTCTGCTGGTGTGTACTTACATCGCGGGGCTCCGGAGCTGTTTTATTGTCACATATAGAACTTTTTCCCACACTCAGCTTTGCCGCCTGATAATGAGGCAAAGATTGCAGAATTGACCCACACGGGCAGTGCTTTTAAATGCCACAGCGGTCATAGATTGGTTCAGATGCCGTCACCATATATGTACTTGTACCGTCCCACTCCAGCCTCCATCAGCGAAGTACAGCCCCACCTGGACACACCCACTTGAGCTGTGCGCTAAGTCTGGGGATAAGATACGGCCGAAGGTGTATGGAAAAAAACACAGTGGAGCACGTCTTGTATAACCACATGACATGGCAAGGTGGAGAGTGTTTTGAGAGAACAACTCAACCAGGATTTCTGTGTTAAATATGGAAATTAAACAAAACATAATTTCAGGTATGTTTTTAATGAGGAAACAACATTAGACCATAGATCAAAAAATAGCATCATATGGGCCCTTTAAAACTAAATAAAATAAAGCATGTCGCTATTGTACATAGTCACAAGACAAAAGTGTTCTGTGCGAAGTAAAGCATCCAAAGTGTTATTCTTCTCTCCCTTTTCACACGTAATATCATAAGAAGATGTGGGAGTCTGGAGCTGAGGTCTGAACTTGATCTAGTCCTGGTTTAGTTCAGGGTTTATTATTTTTCCTCCAAATGTAATTATTTTTTAATAACTCAAAATAAATATTGATGAACACCTGTTATTTTTGTCAGCTTTTACAGGTATCTCACTATGGGTAAAGAAAATGACTTAAAATAAAAGTCTAAACAATGAGAGTAAGTAAGTCTCAGCAACAGCTAGAAGTAGTTTATCACCAGCGTAGAACTAATGGGTGAATGTGAGCGCTTTCAGTATCTTAAAAGACATTATATGAATCCAAGGCATTAGTATTTTTAAGTGCTATTTATAATATTTAAGAACAAATACCTTGAAATTGAATGTCAAAAATGACATTTCCTCTTGTGGCTGACCCATCTTACACCTCCTTCTATCTCTCAGCAGACCAATGAAGTCTTGAGTGTGATATGTCTCATTGTCAGAAACCCAGAGGCTTCATATGGCTCCCTGGAGCCACTTTCACAAAGCCCTGACAGGCTTCTGATGGAAAGCTCTCAAGTGGCAAAATGGTCTCCTTATTGTAACATAATGAAATTGTAATGTATTGTATCAGTAGAGGCTGTCCAGATAATCAAATTTAAATTAAGATCCATCAGTTCTAATTGTCATCATATGCTGGTGTATTTTTAATCAAGAGATCGACAGTGATGTTCGACTTATGTTGTTTGGAGCTGAGGTATGACTTTGAGGGGAAAAAAATATTAATAAAAGTTTGTATTGTTTATGTTCAAGAAATATAAATCTTTAATCTCTTTAATTTTGATATGACAATATAAGACAATATAAAAGTGTATAAAATTAAGATTGATTGGGAAAAAGGTGATCCAGGTGCTACATAAATTACTGTCAAATTATCAATTAAGAAAATAAAGTGCTACTGTTAAGACTTGCACACAGGACAATTTATAATATTAATATTTTGAGAGTCTTAAAATGAGCAACACAATAACACATAATTGGCTTAATATTTCCATACAAGGACCTTAATAATGATGCTCTTGTTGACTGTGCTGTTCTACACAAAGCCAGTGGCAGTGTTTCACGCTCAACTCTTTGAAGAATTAATGAATCACTTGCTTTTAATTAGAGAAACAATGTGACATCTTCACAAGAACTAATAACTTCATTAAAAAACATCTGTGTTACTGAGTGTCTTTAATTTTTACTCTCCAATGCATGTTTTGTCTAATTGTTACTGAAAAAATGACTGAAATGAATTGTGCAAAACCTTTTTTCATGTTTATATTTTTAGTTTAATGCTATACTGTGGCACATTCCGGGCACATCAATAACATCTCCAAGTTTACAAGCAGGATCTGCAAATGAAGGTGAATAGCCAAAACCAAACTCTTTTTTTTTCTTCACTATCTACAGAAGATAGTACGGTGAGACTGCTGCTGCTGCTCTTGTTATGTAGGTCAGGCTGAACTTCTAAACTTCACAAACAATTTCTCATCTTTCCAACACAATGCACAGTTTCCTGTCCCAAGATTAAAGTTCTACATTAATCTGACATCTGCATTTGACATCTGCATTGTAAGCACAGATTAGATAGCCAATTGGTGGTGATTTTAAAGTTTTAAAGTCATCAGTTTTGGATTTGGAGCTTGCTACAGAGATAAACCACTACCTCATTTGTCTCTCAGTGTGGTTTCCTGTGTCACTGTTTCTGAGCATACCCCAAACCTCACTTTTGCAGTTATGTTGTTTTCCTGAGAGCACAATTATGACAAGAACTCAAAAATGATTCAAGGAAGCGCTCTAAAAACAGCCTCTTTTCTGCTACTTCTGGCCTCCATTACACAAGGTAATCCTGGACTATATGCATTATTTTCCTTTTGTATGAATAGGGTCCTGTGGGTTTTAGATCTGTATTGGCTACTGGAGCAATAGTCTGTCTCTGTATAATACTATGATGTTATCAGCTTCTTCCCCAGTGGAATGAAGCATCTAATATCAACTACAAAGTGATTTTATCTTCTCACTTCTGTACTTACAACACTATCTGATGTGTTTGACAGGGTTCAGGGATGTTCCAGTTTTCCATTATAAAACTAAGGAGGCGTTGGTGGGTCAGAATGTGTCTTTACCCTGTTTTTTTGAAAACATTGGTAACATGACATATGTCAGCAGTGAATGGAAGAGAAATTCGTCAAAGTTGGCTCTGCACAACTCAATTCATGGCTACTCGTTTTTTTCACCAAATGTAACTTTAAAAACTATTAAAAATGGCAAAGATCAACTAATAGGCACCCGTTTAGAATTTCCAAACACAGACAAAGGGGACACTGGCACCTACATTTGTGAAATTGGAGCCTTTCCGATTGGAAACCACCGGAGACAGACTGAACTGAGAATCAAAGGTGAGGAATACACAACTCCCATATTTTTATATGTTCATGTCATCACAGACCAGTCTAAAACAAGTGCTTTGTCCACTGCCTAAGTTACTCATTACTCCTGGCTGCATCACGGCTCTGCTCCAGCTCACCTCTGTGAAAACGTACATCTCAATGTTTGGAAAAAAAAAAAAAAAAGTCCCACTTCCCTAATGGACAAAAATGTAACATAGTCAACATGACATGTATTACAGATAAAACATGGTGCTCTGAATGCTCTTTTAGTGATGAACAGCACAGTCCAACAAATTGCTATGCTTGCAGTTTAAATGTAATAATATTTTAATAGTATAAAAACAGGATCATAGTAAATGTGATTTAAAATATCTTCTCTAGAACATTCAGTTGTAATTTAATTAATGAAGTCTAATCAGTTCTTACTATCAGCGTTTACATACAAGCCAATAACTTTTGCTGCATTTGTCTCTGTAACACAATGTTCATATTATATACACACACACACACTTAAAGTGGAGCATTTTGTTACTTATAATGTCTGTAAAATGATTACAAAAATAAATCTGATTCTTTTATTTATTTCCTCAGATATGATTGAGTGTGACAGGAACAGCATCATTGAAGTCCATTCTGGGGAAAATGTGACCATTCACTGCCATGAGTTTGCCAGTGTTACATACACATGGACCAAGGTACAAGAAGCTACTAAATAGAACTGTGTTATCATAAATATCATCATGTATGAGCTTGTGGATAATCCAAATATGTCAGTAGTTCAATTCTGAATAGATTGTCTAGAGTAGCTTGTATAGACAGATCTACCAAACATGCATTTTTTTTTATATATATATATAACATTTTAGTGGCGCACCTATTTCTCTCCTCTGTTTTTCCTTCATACAATGCAAAGATCCAAAAACAAGAGATAGACTTTGAAAGATTGTGACCCACATTTTCAACCTAATGTGTGTGAAGATTCTTTTCTTTTACACCATGACCTTATACATTAAAAGTCATCCTCCAAAATCAAAAGTCAATCTTGCCCTACAGGAAGAGGTGGTGGTTTCAAACAGCCCATCTCTGCACCTGCTGTCTGTGTCTGTATTCAACGCTGGGCTCTACACACTTAGTGTTCACACAGGAAACAGCCTTCTACACAAAGAATTCAGCATTACAGTATCCTCACAATCCACAGACTATTATGCAGGTGAGTTTTCCATTGTCAGCTTTAGCCAATATGTTCGGTCATATTGAATTTCAGCATTTCCTGGGGGCAGCATTAAGATCAAGCAAAGGGCCACAGTGTGAAGGAGCTGGATGGGGGATAGTTTGAGAAGTTTCATTATTACACTTAGACACACACAATTTATTCTTTTAATTAGGTAAATGTAAAAACGGGAGGTTGAATGGATTCCAGAAGCAACTGATCACACTATGAAAAAGTTAATTTCCAATTATTTATTAAATTAAATTCTGTAAGCTGCTTCAGTTTTTGGCAAAGTTCGTGCATAGGTAATAGTGTGCACATAGACTCAAAAACACAAACCCAACCAGCGTGAGAAGTCACATCCTGCCCTGTTCCATTTCTTGTTAAAACCACACAAGCAAAAATCTAAGAGAACAGTGAATAGCATTAGAGCATCCTCTGTTGGACATATACCAGTATCACAATCTGACTAAAAATTACAATTATTAAGGCTAAACAGCAAAATCATTATAAAAAAAACTAAATGTATAGAACAAAATTGACTCTTGTGAGATTTTAGTCATGTTAGAATATTGTTACCTCATCAAAAACATACTGGGAGTTGTGTTTTGTTTCATTCACACGTTTCTGTCTAAATTTCCAAACCTTAAAATGCTGTTACACCTTACGACAATAACAGTAAACAATATTTGTATAGGAATTGATAGTTTTCAAGTTAACAGCTACCTTTTAACTTAAGTTGAGAGGAGATTGGTAATTCTAGTGCTGACATAGTGAAGGTGTACGGAGTTTAAAAACACAGTGGAGCATTTCCTGTATCCTGTACATGACATCAGAAGGTTAAACATGTGTGAATCAAACAAAACAAACCTCCAGGTATGAGGAAACAACATTATAACATTGAGAATAAAATACTGTAATATGGGTCCTTTAATATAACAATACAAAATTTGGTAACTGCACTTTTGGGAGTAGCAGTCTTTTGACATTTGTCTGAAACTTTAACTCCAACTAACACATTTAAAGACATTTCTGATGGACTGACTGATTTGCAGATTAATTATTCTAAAATCGGAGACAGAAGATAAGACAATTACATTTCAGGCACATTCAAATTAATGTTTGTTTACTTTTTTCCAGATGCTTCAACACTGTCTCCTGACAGCAGCAGCAATGAAAATGAGACTACCACATATTCTCCTGTCACCACGTTTGCGACAGAAAATACACAAAAAGCAACAACAACAATTCCAATCTCAAACAGTCAACCTGCCAATTTACAAAACACAACAGACACCACGATGTATCATACAAGCAACATCCAATCAGAATCTTACAACACAACTCTAACTGTGAGTACTGTAAGTGAACATTTCAACCAATCATTGACCAGCAAAGGTTTCGGCCAGTCAGAAACTTACAATACAACCCTAGCGTATAATCAGTCAGAGAGCTTTGATACTGTGAGTATTGGAAGTGAACATTTTAACCAATTAGAAACATTCAACACAAGTATGAGCTATAACCACCCAGTAACAAACTATACAACTCAGCCATATGTGAATGATGCAAGTTTTGTTACAGTAGACTATGATTCAGCTCTTAATGAGGCAGAGTCCACCACTTCTCCTCCTACCACATTCCTGGGGATTCCTACAGTGGAAGACACCTCAGATGTCACAGACCAACAAGGTAAAGTACTGAGGTGTTTTCTTGAAAAGCACAAGCATGTTTAAATTAGGGCTGTAGTTGACTAAAACAATGCAGGGTCAAAAAAAGATATGACCTGTGCAGAAATTAAAAGAAAGAAAAAGGAGCAGGATGAGACTAAGAGCTCTCACAATGTATCTCTATGATCTGACCATATATCTGAACCAAACTGCACTCACAAGATCTCAAATTCTCTGGAGTTTGTGCAAAAATAACTATGTACAGAATCTTCCTGTGTGTAAAGAGGGGTGAAGATTCACTTTGTTTTTGTCTAATATCTGAATCTCACATTATCAATGTAAAGTAAAATCAGGTATTCAATTTAAAAAGTACTGACATCCAAATCATCTGTCACTTAACTATACATCAAGGGACTACCATAGGGAATACACTATTTTTCTCTCCATCAACAGCATATAGCAGTGAAATTTGTGTTAGATAAACATTTTATTCAGCCTATAGTCAGGTGCTCCTTAGACTCATTCAAATCAAAGTCAAGATGTGTATCAAAGAGGGAGACAAGCTCTGCTGCTTCAGGGCAAACTATTCACATTATGTTTTTGTGTGGGGTTTACACAAGAATACTGATATGATGGCTGTAGCTACTATGAGACTTAACTTAAAGTGTGTGGTTAACTTTTTGTCTCCAGGTCCAGCAGACAATGAAGAGAGCAGCCATTTGGGTTTGACACTGCTTATCATTGGAGGGGTTTTACTGATCATTGGAGCTCTCTTTCTGTATAGAAGAAGAGTGCTCAAAAAGAGGTAAATTTTTGAGTTTACATACAAATTAATGTTGTTTTTTTATTTAAATTTTTTTCTCATAAATTTATGTTTGGTCTTTCTAGGGGTGATCTTCCTCCTCCCTTCAAGCCTCCTCCTCCTCCGGTAAAGTACACAGCAGTCAGGACTGCTCCACAGTCTTTTCCCACAGACAGGTGTAACTCAATAACAATGCCGATCAGCATGGAGAAGAGACAAGCATTTGTTTAAAAATGTACACATTATGGTGGCCTGAAGTACAAACTAATATAATATAATATAATATAATATAATATATAATATAATATAAAACAATATAATATAATATAATATATGATGAAGTTTGGTAATAGCCTCAAAACCATGCACTGTTCCAATGTGTGCTAAAATGAACCGTGAGTAATATAATGGTATAAATGTGTATATGCAATATTATATCAGTTTTTGTATAGATGAATGTGTGGTAAACCATTTAATAATGTAAGCACTTTCAACTCTGCACTGTTTTTAATAGTTTCTTTACATGCATACATTTGTATTTGAAATATCAGTATTACACAATAATGTTATGTCGTTTTACATGCTTGTTTTTATTTTATTTTTTAAAATTGTAATATTGTAAATGGTTTCAGCAAAGAATTTGATTTTGGGGGAATTTAAAGTAAGCAGGTGTAAGCTGCACCATTTTATTTTTTTCTGTAATAAAGTGTCTGTAGTTGCCTTCAGTCTCCCCCTCAATAAGACCTTCAAATCAAGCTCGAATTCTAGGGCTATAAGACTCAGACTTGAACTTTAACAGTCACATCAAATCAATAAAATCAGCAGATTTAACCATCTAAAAACAATGCCAGAATCAGAGGTCTTGGAGAGACTTCTTCATGTAATTGTGTCCAGTAGGTTAGACTACTGTAATGACCTGCTCACCCAAAACGAGCTGTAAGACAGCTGCGGTACAGAGTGCTGCCGCTCGGGTCCTTCCTGTGGCTCAGTGAATAGACTTTAAAGCAGTGTGAGACACTGAGATGATCGCAGTACTCAGAACACAGTGCACTGTACACACTGTTATTGTGGCTTTCCCCTGTCTCACTAGTGATTTAGGATATCCTGTCTTGGGCACAGTGAGTTTAAATAATGTATGTGCTTAAAGCCTAAACCACAAACCACATTGTCTATGTAAATCAATATGAAATCACCACTTGACCGAATAAAGAAATACACATTTCTCAATGCATTTTACTATGTTATTGGCTCCCCCACATGAATGCCATCACTTTCTTGTCATTCATCTTGTCAGTATTGTTTAGTTTTGCCTTCTGAAAACCACACAAACATGTGATTTGTAAATTGTTTAAACTGCATGACAGTCAGTATACATGGGTAAATCATGGATTATACAGAGGAATTGAGGTTAAGGTTAAAGTATATTTTATTTTACAATTTGTCCCCACAGGGAAATTTGTTTACTACATTTGACCCATCTTTCAATTTTCCTGGCTTAAACAATGAGGAGTGGGTGCTGTAGTGCAGCAGATCTTTAGTCAGACTGCACTA